TCTCGAGATCAATTATGTATTCATCCAGAAGTTTCTAAAGAAACTAATAGTTCAAACAAGATATATATGTGTCATTCTAAAGTAAAATCTAGAACATGTTTTTATTACAATAATGTTGAAAGCAGGTGCAAAACATATTATTAATATTTTTTAATAGCTTTATTAAATTTTATTAATATATTATATTATATATATTAATAAAAATATATATATTTTAGAAAAGATGATCCATTTTTTAAACAAGAAATACTTGATATAGAAGATTTAGTAAAAGCTGGACAAAAATTCAAATGTTGTCCATATTTTTTATCCAGAGAACTCAAACAAAATGCAGATATCATTTTTATGCCATATAATTATATATTAGATACAAAATCACGAAAAATACAGGGTATAGATATACAGAACAATATCATTCTTTTTGATGAAGCACATAATATTGAGAAAATCTGTGAAGAAACAGCATCATTACAGGTATTAATTTATATTTAACAAATAATTAATTGAATTTAATAATATTGAATGCTATAAAAAATAAATTGGATAATAAATTGATTTTTATAAAACTTTTATAGATATCTAGTACAGATATTGCAATGTGCATTGATGAAATAACAGTTGTAATGGAAGATATGGCTAAGGATATTGAACAACAAAATAATTTTTTAATGGAAAATTCAGAAAATGTTCAAAAAGATTTTACTGCAGATGATTTATGCATTTTGAAAGCTATGTTTTTGGAATTGGAAAAAGCTATTGATGATATATCAATTGTAAAACGTGATGAAGGAGATACATTTCCTGGTGGATACATTTTTGAATTATTAGGAAAAGCACAAGTAAATAATTAAATTATATTCTAATATAATTATATAATATATCAATATTTTTATATGATATAAAATATCTAATATTTATTTAAAATAAATAAAAATAATAAATATTTAACAGTTAACTCATGGTAGAGAACAACTTGTAATAGAAAAATTAGAGAAAATTGTTTTTTATTTAACTACTACAAGCACCTCTCCATTTACAAGAAAAGGTAATGCACTTCAAAAATTCAGTGATTTATTAAAAACTGCATTTAGTAGTGATAATAGTTTACTCTCTAAAGAAAAAATCAAACAATATTATAAAGTATATATACAATTAGAAGAACAGAAAAAATCAAAACAAAATGATGTTTGGGAGAAAAAAAAAATACTTCCAAAAAATGAAGGCAAAATTATTAATTATTGGTGTTTTAGTCCTGGATTTAGGTAAATTTTGATTATATTATTGTATTTAGTTTTAAATACATTGATTTTTATATATTGATTACAATGATAAAGTATGCAACAACTAAAAGACCAAGGAACACGTGCAATAATATTAACAAGTGGTACATTATCTCCTTTAAAACCTTTCATATCTGAACTTGGAATACCGATTGAAGTTCAATTAGAAAATTCACATATTGTTAAAGAAGATCAAATTTGTGTTGGTATACTTAGTCGAGGTCCTGATGGTTATTCATTAAATTCTTCTTTTAACACAAGGTATTTTTATTATTAAATTGAATATTAAGTATTTTTTTAAAAAAATATTAATTTTCATAATATGTCACTTAAAAATTATAATTTATATTTAGAAATGACCCAAAATACATAGGATCTCTTGGACAAACAATATTTAATTTTAGTTGTCTTGTTCCTTATGGTTTACTTGTATTCTTCCCTTCATATCCAATAATGAAAAAATGTAAAGAAGAATGGCAAAATACAGGTTTGTGGACTAAAATTGCAGATCGTAAAGTAATTATCTTTAATATTTATATTAAGATGATGATACATAATAAGATATAATAAATTATAAAAACGATAAAACTATTTATTTACATATCAGCCTATATATGTGGAACCACAGTATAAAGATGGTTTTATTAATGTTATGAATGAGTATTATGAAAAAATTAGAAATCCTTCATGTAAAGGAGCTATTTTTATGGCAGTTTGTAGAGGTAAAGTAAGTGAAGGACTTGATTTTGCTAATGCAAATGGGAGAGCTGTATTAATTACTGGTCTTCCATTTCCACCTTTAAAAGATCCTAGAGTTATATTAAAACAACGATATTTGGAAGAGATAAAAAAACAAGATAAAGAGGTAATTGAATTTAACGATTTATAAAATACATATTAAATATTTATTAAATATATATAATTAATATAATATATTTAATATATATATTTAATATAAATATTTTTATATATATTATTTTTTAGGTTTTATCTGGCCAACAGTGGTATCAACTTGAAGCATCACGAGCTGTTAATCAAGCTATTGGCCGTATAATACGTCACAAAAATGATTATGGAGCTATAATTCTTTGTGATCATCGATTTGATAATCCAAATTTTAAGAAACATTTATCTGCTTGGCTCAGACCTCATATAAAAAATTTTACTTGTTTTGGTGTCATTATAAAAGAGTTAAAAGGTTTTTTTAGATATGCAGAACATACTGTAAGTTTAATTTTATAAAAAGAAAATACTTAAGTACTATTATATTTTTAAGTATTTTTATTTTTATTTTCAGTTTCCACAACCAAATATAATTAATATACAATCTACAAATAGTTGTGTTTCATTACCAGCAGTCTCAGCATCATTTGACACAACTGTATCGCGAAACATAAAAGTTATTTCTAAAGAGGATATTGTAATATCTTCTGAAGATACTTTCACTATTGATACTTATATTAATGAAGATAAGAAAAATAAGCAATTGACTGAAACAAAAAAAAAAATTTATTTGAACTTTTAGAAACAGAATCAAAGCCTATAATTAATTTTAGTGATTGTAAATTGAAAAGAAATTACATCACTTGTGAGCTAACAAAAAATATTAATGAACCAGTTATGAAAAAAAGAAAAATAAAAATGTTACCAATAGAATTTAATGAACATTTGTCAGGTCCTTCAACTTCTTCATGTGAAAATAGAGAAGATACAAATAATATGATACATTCTCAACAAATATTAGGAGAAACTAGTAAGACTGATAAAAAAACTTTAGGTAAAATGTACTTAAAAGAAGAAGTTTTTTTTATATTTTATATATATATATATATATATATATATATATATATTATTTATTATTATATATAT